CGTCTGTAATCTGACCTGGAGGACTTCATTGTGCGCGACTCACGTACACGTGTTTAAGGCACAGCTCCGTGAGAACTTTTCCTTCGAAATAACTAGACAGCCAAATGGGTCGCATTTTCCCCGCCTGTATCTTTTTTTTTTCTCTCATTTTTTTTTTTTTTTGTCTGTTTTTTAGTACTGGGAGAATTGTTTACTAAGACGACATTCCTTGACAAGAGTCGAGAGAATTAACAAAAGAATTAAAGAAAAAGGAGAATGAAAAATACCAAAAATTTCAAACGGAAATTTCAAGATCAAATATATTTGGAGATTTTGAAAAAAATCTTCAAGGCAAACATTAAAGAGAGCATCAAACTACAAAAATTCCCAATTTGAAAACGATTCTGGGAAGAGTTATAACAGACGATGGAAAAATATGGCACTGAAATCCGAAGTCGCATTAGAAAAAACGCATGATACCTTCCAAAAACTATGCAAAGTATAAAAGAATAGAAAAATTAGGTTAGATACAAAGAAATGAGTACTAAACTGTTAGGGAATATCAGCCCTTCTAGATGGTGGTAAATTTTCGAAAATGTTGAACAATTCTTACCCAGACTGATTGTTTTTTTACGGTTTATAAAACCTTTGAGGCTTATTTATCTCACATATGAATATCAGACAATGTAACAATAATGTGGTCCTATAGAGAGAAATAAACTAAGTATATCATTAATAATAATAAAAAAAAAACATATGAGCAACCATTGAGACGAGACTTGAAAAAGATTGTTGAAGAAGATGAAAGCATCTACGTGGGAGTCTGTTTGACAATATAGCGGTTCTTGAGCAAAGGAATATGTAGAAAAATGAGGGTGACTCAATAGGTTAGGTTGATTTTTTTTATTTCGTTCAGGAAATCAACATTGTATTTGGTGTGAAAACTGGGGTTTGATACACTATTTACATTATTCGGACTATTGTCCTCATCTTTGTCGCCATATTTATTACAACGTTTCAGCCGTTGTACGCTCCGGCCTTCTTCAGATGGTTGGAATGTCGAACTGAACCCTTTATTTCGCTCACTGGGGTAGACTGTTCTAGTTCCACGTGCCATGTTTAATGGCTGTCAGTTATCTCCTGTTAATTCTCCTCTCCAAGTTCTCCACTGCCTTAACTGGGTATTGAACTCACACTCTTTCGGTCCTGTCACTGGATCTAACTAACGCTTTTGGAAAAGTTGGTCTCTCGCTCAACTGGGCCCCACACATAATAATCAAGGGGTTGTAGTCTGGTGAGTTAGGCGGCCAGATGTAAAGCGTGATGTGGTCATAGAAATTTTCTGACAGCCATGACTGCGTTGTCCTGCTTGTGATGTAGAGTCCTGTTACCAGACATAGGGTTCCTAGCAGCCAACCTCTTGACCCAAGGCATCAAGGCACTTGTTGCAGGTCTCCGTGTTGAGTCTGAGGACCTCATTCACAAATTCGGGAGTTCTTTTCTTATCAGAACGATCAGAATGAGTTTTCCGAGCTGTCGTTCCTTCGTAATCAGCATTATACTCATCCAACTCTTTCTGAATCCTCTGCAATGTCCTCTGATTGACACTTAAACACTCCGAAATATTCGTATTGGAGCTTCCGGTGCGAATGCCAAGCAGTACAGCATGCCGTTTCGAAATTTCTGGCGATGTAAATTGCGTCATGGTGCGCTTTTTCTCAAAGACCAGACTTTTTGAAGAGCCGAATACAGAGACTTGGTGCACTACAATGCTCCCCAACCGACTCTCTGCAGGTTTTGAATTCAGAGTTGTCCTCCACCTAATTGCCATCCAAGGCTATAGAACCCAGTCTGTCCGGCCATCTACTCATAGGTAGGGGTTAGAAGAAGAGGATTCATATCTTTCCCAAGGGTATTAGCACGTAAGTGAATGTAATTGATGCGACTGGAATTCGAACTCGGCTCGCCGATTCCTCAATCCACCGTGCCTCCAGAACTCATACTCATTGACAAATCGACCATGGTGAAATTCGAAACCGCGTCTGATTGTCGAAGTACTTATGTTCTAATCACTCGAAAACTCACCAAAGACGTCGAATTGTGTCACTTCATGTCCTCCATAGCTTGCCTGACCTTTCAACTAACCTGATAAATATTTATGAGCATTCCTAAACTTACAACTTTGAAAAACCAATAACATATTTGTTTTGTATATAAATACTTGTTACAAAATAAAATTCTTGCATTTGACTAGATGATGTTCATCAGAGGGCGAAACGTTAATGTCATAATTTAAAGCCTAATCCCAATCTAAACAATATTCATGATAAAAAATTACTGAATTTTTACTCACTCACTTTACTTTTACCAGACTTTAAATTATGACACTTTGTGTCCTCCATATGCTTTGAATGACCTTTCAACCACCTAATAAACATTCATGAATGTTCACAAATTTAAAACCGTTGATAAAGCAGTGGCATCGTCGCCTTTACATATATACACGTGCAACAAAATAAATCCTATATTGCCATGATAAATTCCCTCAGGGGACAAAACGCGTCAGCTAAAATATTTTTTTCTCTTGTCGCATTTAATCCACGCACACAAACACACAGATTATATATATATATATATATATATATATATATATATATATATATATATATATGCTCCCGAAAAAGAATTATTTCGGTTGAACACTCGGGGACAAAAATGAATTTGTAAACAGTGACTATTACTGCTGCTGATGCAAGACTCTTCGTTAAGACGAATCGAGTTCTCCATTCACTGGCGTGTTTATCGATAAATAAATAAATACCTCTAAATTCACATTCATCCTTGCTGTGCACCAGTGGTTTAGGGGTAGAGTCTCCGACTGATACCAAATTGGTCGGGTTTCGGTTCCGTCTTAAAGCGAGCGAATGTTTAGCCACACTAATGAGCTGTGAAACAGTCTGTCTGTGGATGACTATATATATGTGTGTGTGTCTTTGTTAAATATCAAATTTTAAATCTCTAGTTCCGACATTGAATACAGTTCACCGTCTGAGTTGAATAAAACTGACGCACTCGGCGTCAGCTGAAATAGACTATACTCATGTTGTAATTTTGTTTTTCTGCGTTGTGTAATTTATATGCTCTGTTATAATAAATATATTGAGCTCTTTTGTGGATCAGTTTTAATATTTTATATTATTAGGATCCACTTTCAACAGAGGAAAACTTCGCTATTCTTATTCAACCCCGGTGTATAGACTGAGTTCGTGTCGGAATTAGAAATTTAACTGTGACGGCCGTCGAAAAATTAATACAGAATTTATCCATTTCAGTGTTTCGGTCAGACGAAATGTACAAGACGGTGGTCAGTAGAGGGTGAGAAGTAACCCAGATATTAACCTTATGACATTAAATTGGGGTTCTATGAAGAATGAAGTCTCAATTTGAAACTAAAAGAGGACCGAAAAGAGAATTTCATAAAAAATCTATATAGAAAAGGGTTAGTATATATATATATATATATATATATATATATATATATATATATATATATAATTATTTATTTAAAAATATGATTCCAACACGCTACATAAGATTTCTCATGTTTCAAAACAAGAGTCGAAAACTTCAATATAATTAAATTGAATTAAAGTACTAAGCTCTGTTCCAACTTGGAATAACTTATTTCTGAAATTTACGTGTTTTATAAGCATATTCATTATTGAAATCAAAATTTCTATGGTAACGGCTAGAGCAATTGTTTAAAGAAAAAGGGGCGTAAGATGTTAATAATTTGTATCAATATCTCAGTTACATTCACAGATGTCAAGTCAGGGTAAGGTTGGGGTGTCTAAATTTAAAGCGGAAGATGACATCGGCTAGTCTGGTTAAGTGTCTATGGAGATTTATTTATCTTTTTATTTTATTTTTTATTTTTTTCTGAAAGGGTTTTGTGTATATAAAAACTGTCGTAAATCGCTTACATTTGTTTTTTGACGATTTTATAAAGGGTTATCTTTTTTTGTAGGGCATTTAAACTATTTATTAGGACTATGGATTTTAAAAATTATTTTATTGTTTGTTTGTTTTGATGCTAATTATTCAATGCAAAAATTTGATGATGTCGGCAAAAAACCGTTAACTCATGTCTATTGTTTAATAGATTTTTATTATTAAGAAACTTAATAATGTTAATAGTTAATAGTTTTTCATGTAGGCAAAAAGGGCATGAGTCATCCCAAGTTTTACAAGTTCTAGTTTTGTTTATATATATATATATATATATATAATTAAAAACCAGGGGTTCAGTTGAATCCGCTACCTTGGTTTTAACCTTATGATATCATCAGGCGATTTTTATCAAGTGACCTCTTAACACAGTCAAATTAAGCTGCATTAGTAATTTAGAAACAATAATAAATAGACCAAACGCCAGAATAGTCCAAACTAATGCGCAGCAAAATATAGTAAACACTAGTAATTTATGCAACTGCAGAAATAAGAATAGATGTCCGTTAAATGACGCTTGTAAAACAGAAGCTATAGATTTATAAAACAGAAGTAAGAGATACTAATAGCGAAAATAAAGCGTAAATATAATGTAAGGAAGGTACTTTCAAACGTAGATGGTATAAACATAGGTCGTCATTTAAGGTAGCAAATCTTAGGTACTAGCTGACCATGTATGGAATTTAAAAGAAAAAACAACAAAGATCCGATTGTAAGGTGGAAATTTTAAAAAAAGGCAAAGCCTTACAACAATATATTCAAATTCTGCCAACAGGAAAAATTATGACAGTTCCGGATCCAAAGAAGCTTTTTAAAACAGAAATCCCAAATCTCAAGTACTTGCTTACAGATGAGAAACTTTTTCTTGAGTACATATGAGACTAGATAAAACACAACAAAAAAGTAATGTGCATTCCAATTACACCCCCACTGATACATTTATAATACATTTGCTTTTCTTCTCTTTCTTCTTATTCTTCTTTTTCTTTTTCTTCTTCTTAATATCCCCCTTCCTTTCTTCTATTCCCCCTTTTTCTTCTTCCTTCTTCACATTCTCCTCCTACCTTTCTTCTCTTCCTCCTTTTTCTTCTCCATTCTTAATATCCCCCTCCCTTTCTTCTCTTCCCCCTTTTTCTTCTTCCTTCTTCACATACTCCTCCTACCTTTCTTTTCTTCCTCCTTTTTCTTCTTCATTCTTAATATCCTCTTCCCTTTCTTCTCTTCCCCCTTTTTCTTCTTCCTTCTCTCACATTCTCCCCCTCCCTTTCTTCTCTTAGCCCTTTTTCTTCTTCCTTCTTCACATTCTACTCCTCCCTTTCTTCTCTTCCCCCTTTTTCTTCTTCCTTCTTCACATTCTCCTCCTACCTTTCTTCTCTTCCTCCTTTTTCTTCTTCCTTCTTCACATCCTCCTCCTCTCTTTCTTCTCTTCCCCCTTTTTCTTCTTCTTCACATCCTCCTCCTCCCTTTCTTCTCTTCCCACTTTTGCTTCTTCTTCCTTCTTCACATCCTCCTCCTCTCTTTCTTCTCTTCCCCCTTTTTCTTCTTCCTTCTTAATATCCCCCCTTTTTCTTCTCTTCCCCCTTTTTCTTCTTCCTTCTTCACATACTCCTCCTACCTTTCTTCTCTTCCTCCTTTTTCTTCTTCATTCTTAATATCCTCCTTCCTTTCTTCTCTTCCTCCTTTTTCTTCTTCCTTTTTCACATTCTCCTACTCCCTTTCTTCTCTTCCTCCTTTTTCTTCTTCCTTCTTTACATTCTCCTCATCCCTTTCTTCTCTTCCTCCTTTTTCTTCTTCCTTCTTCACATTCTCCTCATCCCTTTCTTCTCTTCCTCCGTTTTCTTCTTCCTTCTTCATATTCTCTACCTCCCTCTCTTCTCTTCCTCCTTTTTCTTCTTACTTCAAAACATTCTCCTCCTCCCTTTCTTTCTTCTCTTTTCTTCTTCCTTTTCTTCTTCTTTCCTTCTTTCTTCATATTCTCCTCCTCCCTTTTTTCTTCTTCCTCCTTTTTCTTCTTCTTCCTTCTCTCATATTCTTCCTCCTCCTTTTCTTCTCTTCCTCCTTTTTTCTTCTTCCTTCTTCATTCTACCCTCCTCCTTTCTTCTCTACCTCCTTTTTTCTTCTTCCTTCTTCACATTCTCCTCCTCCCTTTCTTCTCTTCCTCCTTTTTCTTCTTCCTTCTTCACATTCTCCTCCTCCCTTTCTTCTCTTCCTCCGTTTTCTTCTTCCTTCATCATATTCGCCTCCTCCCTTTCTTCTCTTCCTCCTTTTTCTTCTTCCTTCTTCACATTGTCCTCCTCCCTTTCTTCTCTTCCTCCGTTTTCTTCTTCCTTCTTCATATTCTCCTCCTACCTTTCTTCTCTTCCTCCTTTTTCTTCTTCCTTCTTTACATTCTCCTCCTCCCTTTCTTCTCTTCCTCCTTTTTCTTCTTCCTTCTTCACATTCTCCTCCACCCTTTCTTCTCTTCCTCCTTTTTCTTCTTCCTTCTTCACATTCTCCTCCTCACTTTCTTCCCTTCCTCCTTTTTCTTCTTCCTTCTTAATATCCCCCTCCCTTTCTTCTCTTCCCCCTTTTTCTTCTTCCTTCTTCACATACTCCTCCTCCCTTTCTTCTCTTCCTCCTTTTTCTTCTTCCTTCTTCACATTCTCCTCCTCCCTTTCTTCTCTTCCTCCGTTTTCTTCTTCCTTCATCATATTCGCCTCCTCCCTTTCAGTTTCTCTTCCTCCTTTTTCTTCTTCCTTCTTTACATTCTCCTCCTCCCTTTCTTCTCTTCCTCCTTTTTCTTCTTCCTTCTTCACATTCTCCTCCTCCCTTTCTTCTCTTCCTCCGTTTTCTTCTTCCTTCTTCATATTCTCCTCCTCCCTTTCTTCTCTTCCTCCTTTTTCTTCTTCCTTCTTAACATTCTCCTCCTCCCTTCCTTCTCTTCCACCTTTTTCTTCTTCCTTTTTCATATTCTCCTCCTCCCTTTCTTCTCTTCCTCCTTTTTCTTCTTCCTTCTTCACATTCTCCTCCTCACTTTCTTCACTTCCTCCTTTTTCTTCTTCCTTCTTAATATCCCCCTCCCTTTCTTCTCTTCCCCCTTTTTCTTCTTCCTTCTTCACATACTCCTCCTACCTTTCTTCTCTTCCTCCTTTTTCTTCTTCATTCTTAATATCCCCCTTCCTTTCTTCTCTTCCTCCTTTTTCTTCTTTTTTTTTTTTTTCTCCTCCTCCTTTCTTCTCTTCCTACTTTTTCTTCTTCCTTCTTCACATTCTCCTCCTCCCTTTCTTCTCTTCCTCCGTTTTCTTCTTCCTTCTTCATATTCTCCTCCTCCCTTTCTTCTCTTCCTCCTTTTTCTTCTTCCTTCTTCACATTCTCCTCCTCCCTTTCTTCTCTTCGTTTTCTTCTTCCTTCTTCATATTATCCTCCTCCCTTTCTTCTCTTCCTCCTTTTTCTTCTCACTTCTTCACATTCTCCTCCTCCCTTTCTTTACTACCTCCATCTACTTCTTCCTTCTTCACATTCTCCTCCTCCCTTTCTTCTCTTCCTCCTTTTTCTTCATCCTTCTTCACATTCTCCTCCTCCCTTTCTTCTCTTCCTCCGTTTTCTTCTTCCTTCTTCATATTCTCCTCCTACCTTTCTTCTCTTCCTCCTCTTTCTTCTTCCTTCTTCACATTCTCCTCCTACCTTTCTTCTCTTCCGACTTTTTCTTCTTCCTTCTTCACATTCTCCTCCTCCCTTTCTTCTCTTCCTCCTTTTTCTTCTTCCTACTTCATATTCTACTCCTCCCTTTCTTCCCTTCCTCCTTTTTCTTCTTACTTCTTCACATTCTCTTCCCCCCTTTCTTCTCTTCCTCCTTTTTCTTCTTCCTTCTTCACATTCTCCTCCTTCCTTTCTTCTCTTCCTCCTTTTTCTTCTTCCTTCTTCACATTCTCCTCCTCCCTTTCTTCTCTTCCTCCTTTTTCTTCTTCCTACTTCATATTCTCCTCCTCCCTTTCTTCTCTTCCTCCTTTTTCTTCTTCCTTCTTCACATTCTCCCCCTCCCTTTCTTCTCTTCATCCTTTTTCTGCTTCATTCTTAATATCCCCCTTCCTTTCTTCTCTTCCTACTTTTTCTTCTCCCTTCTTCACATTCTCCTCCTCCCGTTCTTCTCTTCCTCCTTTTTCTTCTTCCTTCTTCACATTCTCCTCCTCCCTTTCTTCTCTTCCTCCTTTTTCTTCTTCTTCTTCACATTCTCCTCCTCCCTTTCTTCTCTTCCTCCTTTTTCTTCTTCTTCTTCACATTCTCCTCCTCCCTTTCTTCTCTTCAAACCTTTTTCTTCTTCCTTCTTCACATTCTCCTCCTGACTTTCTTCACTTCCTCCTTTTTCTTCTTCATTCTTCACATTCTCCTCCTCACTTTCTTCAATTCCTCCTTTTTATTCTTCCTTCTTAATATCCTCCTCCCTTTCTTCTCTTCCCCCTTTTTCTTCTTCCTTCTTCACATTCTCCTCCTCCCTTTCTTCCCTTCCTGCTTTTTCTTCTTCCTTCTTCACATTCTCCTCCTCCCTTTCTTTAATACCTCCTTCTACTTCTTCCTTCTTCACATTCTCCTCCTCCCTTTCTTCTCTTCCTCCTTTTTCTTCTTCACATTCTCCTCCTCCCTTTCTTCTCTTCCTCCTTTTTCTTCTTCCTTCTTCACATTCTCCTCCTCCCTTTCTTTACTACCTCCTTCTACTTCTTCCCCTCTTCACATTCTCCTCCTACCTTTCTTCTCTTCCTCCTTATTCTTCTTCCTTCTTCATATTCTCCTCCTACCTTTCTTCTCTTCCTCCTTTTTCTTCTTCCTTCTTCACATTCTCCTCCTCCCTTTCTTCTCTTCCTCCTTTTTCTTCTTCCTTCTTCATATTCTCCTCCTCCCTTTCTTCCCTTCCTCCTTTTTGTTCTTACTTCTTCACATTCTCCTCCTGCCTTTCTTCTCTTCCTCCTTTTTCTTCTTCCTTCTACACATTCTCCTCCTCCCTTTCTTCTCTTCCTGCTTTTTCTTCTTCCTTCTTCACATTCTCTTCCTCCCTTTCTTCTCTTCCTCCATTTTCTTCTTCCTTCTTCACATTCTCCTCCTCCCTTTCTTCTCTTCCTCCTTTTTCTTCTTCCTTCTTCACATTCTCCTCCTCCCTTTCTTCTCTTCCTCCTTTTTCTTCTTCATTCTTAATATCCCCCTTCCTTTCTTCTCTTCCCCCTTTTTCTTCTTCCTTCTTCACATTCTCCTCCTCACTTTCTTCACTTCCTCCTTTTCTACTTCCTTCTCGCACATTTCTCCCCCTCCCCTTTATTCTCTTAGCCCTTTTTCTTCTTCCTTCTTCACATTCTCTCCTCCTTTCTTCTCTTCCCCTTTTTCTTCTTCCTTCTTCATTCTCCTCCTCCCTTTCTTCTCTTCCTCCTTTTTCTTCTTCCTTCTTCACATTCTACTCCTCCCTTTCTTCTCTTCCTCCTTTTTCTTCTTCCTTCTTCACATTCTCCTCCTCACTTTCTTCTCTTCCTCCTTTTTCTTCTTCCTTCTTCACATTCTCCTCCTCACTTTCTTCACTTCCTCCTTTTTCTTCTTCCTTCTTAATATCCCCCTCCCTTTCTTCTCTTCCCCCTTTTTCTTCTTCCTTCTTCACATTCTCCTCCTCCCTTTCTTCCCTTCCTCCTTTTCCTTCTTACTTCTTCACATTCTCCTCCCCCCCTTTCTTCTCTTCCTCCTTTTTCTTCTTCCTTCTTCACATTCTCCTCCTCCTTTTCTTCTCTTCCTTTTTTTTTCTTCTTCCTTCTTCACATTCTCCTCCTACCTTTCTTCTCTTCCTCCTTTTTCTCCTTCCTTCTTCACATTCTCCTCTTCCCTTTCTTCTCTTCCGCCTTTTTCTTCTTCATTCTTCACATTCTCCTCCTCCCTTTCTTCTCTTCCTCCTTTTTCTCCTTCATTCTTAATATCCCCCTTCCTTTCTTCTCTTCCTCCTTTTTCTTCTCCCTTCTTCACATTCTCCTCCTCCCGTTCTTCTCTTCCTCCTTTTTCTTCTTCCTTCTTTACATTCTCCTCCTCCCTTTCTTCTCTTCCTCCTTTTTCTTCTTCATTCTTAATATCCCCCTTCCTTTCTTCTCTACCTCCTTTTTCTTCTTCCTTCTTCACATTCTCCTCCTCCCTTTCTTCTCTTCCAACCTTTTTTTTCTTCCTTCTTCACATTATCTTCCTCCCTTTCTTCTCTTCCTCCTTTTTCTTCTTCCTTCTTCACATTCTCCTCCTCCCTTTCTTCTCTTCCTCCTTTTTCTTCTTCTTTCCTCCACATTCTCCCTATTTTTTTTTCTCTTCCTGCTTTTCTTCTTCCTTCTTCACATTCTACTCCTCCCTTTTTTTCTCTTCCTCCTTTTCTTCTTCCTTCTTCACATTCTCCTCCTCACTTTCTTTTCTTCCTCCTTTTTCTTCTTCCTTCTTCACATTCTCCTCCTTCTTTCTTTCTCTTCCTCCTTTTCTTTTCCTTCTTCACATTTCTCCTCCTTTCTTCTCTTCCTCCCTTTTTTCTTCTTCCTTCTTAATATCCTCCTCCTTTCTTCTCTTCCCCTTTTTCTTCTTCCTTCTTCACATTCTCCTCCTCCCTTTCTTCCCTTCCTGCTTTTTCTTCTTCCTTCTTCACATTCTCCTCCTCCCTTTCTTTACTACCTCTTTCTACTTCTTCCTTCTTCACATTCTCCTCCTACCTGTCTTCCCTTCCTCCTTTTTCTTCTTCCTTCTTCACATTCTCCTCCTACCTTTCTTCTCTTCCTCCTTTTTCTTCTTCCTTCTTCACATTCTCCTCCTCCCTTTCTTCTCTTCCTCCTTTTTCTTCTTCCTTCTTCATATTCTCCTCCTCCCTTTCTTCCCTTCCTCCTTTTTCTTCTTACTTCTTCACATTCTCCTCCTCCCTTTCTTCCCTTCCTCCTTTTTCTTCTTACTTCTTCACATTCTCCTCCTCCCTTTCTTCTCTTCCTGCTTTTTCTTCTTCTTTCTTCACATTCTCTTCCTCCCTTTCTTCTCTTCCTCCTTTTTCTTCTTCCTTCTTCACATTCTCCTCCTCCCTTTCTTCTCTTCCTCCTTTTTCTTCTTCCTTCTTCACATTCTCCTCCTCCCTTTCTTCTCTTCCTTCTTTTTCTTCTTCCTTCTTCACATTCTCCTCCTCCCTTTCTTCTCTTCCTCCTTTTTCTTCTTCCTTCTTCACATTGTCCTACTCACTTTCTTCACTTCTCCTTTTTCTTCTTCCTTCTTAATATCCCCCTCCCTTTCTTCTCTTCCTCCTTTTTCTTCTTCCTTCTTCACATTCTCCTCCTCCCTTTCTTCTCTTCCTCCTTTTTGTTCTTCATTCTTAATATCCCCCTCCCTTTCTTCTCTTCCCCTTTTTCTTCTTCATTCCTAACATCCTCCTCCTCCTCTTCTATTATACCCAACGTCTTGCGTTTGTCTATTTATATTTGCCAATAATAATGTAGCGTTTATTAGTTTGTTTTTTTTTGTTTTTTTTTTTAAATAAAGCGTTAAGAGGTCATTTTCTAAAAATCGCCTGAGGAGCCGTAAGGTTGAAACCAATGTAGTGAAGTCAACTGATCTCATGCTTTTTCGAACCTCGCTCAACAGAGCTAAATCGAGGTAGATATCAATAATTGTACTTTTAGTTTTAGTGTCAACTCTTTTACCTAGCAGATCCCACTCTAATTACCACCTGATGTTGTTGGAGGCCATTCATATTCTATCGTTGAAGCCTTTTCTATGTAAACAGAAGGACTTTGTATTAGGCCTCCAACTAATTACCATCAAATTTTTTTCTGCAATACACTTTGTTCATTTTTCTTTTTTTAAATAATTTACTTTATTTACCTCGATTTAGCTCTGTTGAGCGAGGTTCGAAACCGCTTAGCTAGCCATTTTTTCATTTTTACTATAATCATGAGTGATAATAATAAAATTAATTTTTGCCTGTTTATGGAAGTTATAAATTTTTCTACCACTAAACATATTTTTAAATATATATATATATATATATATATATATATATAATTATTATTTATAAAAAAAATTATAACATAAATAAATCTTTTTTATTTTATCTTCAACATCATCACTTGATAAGACACCCAGGGTGTTGAAACAAAATGGCTATTTTTGTAGTGATTTTATAACATATTTATGTTTATATTATATTTTATATATTTTTTTTATAAATAATAATTATATCTGCTCTACTTTGTATTGAGTACTCTTTTAAGAATAGTAATTGTTGGTTATTGGAATTCATTCTGTATATACCAATTATGTACATAGATATATATATATATATATATATATATATATATACATTATAAATTAATTGATTTAAAATATGTTTTTTTTCGCTACACAGTTCTAACCATGTTTCATAAATGGAAGCTAAAAGCCACGAATTTAATTTTGTGATTAAATTAAAGACATTAGTTCCATTTCATCCTCAAGCGAATTTTGGAGTAACTTTTTAAAATTACTGGGTTTTAAAATACACAGCTAAAACAAAATTCATGTTTCCAAGGTTACAGATAAATCTATTTTTCTAGACAGGGGTGTCTAGGTGTTTAATATGTCTATAATTTAATGTATCAGTTATTGCTACGTTTTTGAAACATATTTAGAACTGTGTAGCGAAAAAAACATATTTTAAATCAATTAATTTATAATATTAATGCTCTGTAAATTTGCATTGAGCAATATTTTGTAAAAATAAAAATATCTATAAGAACACCGGATTATATATCTTGCTGTTCTTTTCTCTCTCTATATATATATATATATATATATATATATATATATATATATATATATATATATATACTGCATTTATGCATACTAAGAAAATACATATTAGTCAATATTTTTGTTTTGTATTTTATTTGGGATTGAACACCAAACCTCGGCACCATTGAGATACTATGTAACTATGGAAGCCAGAAAGGATGACTTACATGAACTCGTCATTGTCAACCGATAACTTCCCCTTGTTCTTAATGTCATTGTATTCGTCAGAAAATTACTACTCTTTATCGTCGACAGACTGTGACGCGATTCTTGATTTAGCGACTGTATTCGGCGGGGGGGCAGTGGTCTTGCCCTAACTAATGAAATAATTGTTGCAATTAATTCCACTGCGTATGTGTTCCTGTACGCACCTAAATTCTTCAGTATGGGACTCTTTCTTAATTATCCCCCCGTTTTTCCGAAACCATTTTGGAATATGGAAAGCAACCAGAGATTTTTAATTATTTTGGTGCTGCTACTAATTGGCGGTGAGCTGATTATCTTTTTGAATTCGTTCAGTGAAAAGCTCACCGGAAACTCAAGTAAAAAAAAAACAAAAAAAACGCCCAGACGTACTTGGTGAAAAAGTCGTATGATATTTTGAAACAATGCAAACGACAGAG